GGCCCCCGGGCCCACGGTGCGCGCCGTCCCTGCTGCAGCCGCACAGCGCGTCTCCTCCCCACGGGCCCGCTGCTCTACTTCCTACGTCTGGTCCCCACAAGGCGCCCCTCTGCACCCTCTGCAACATACGCTCATAAAGGTCACCTGTTTAACGCCTCCCCGCATTACATCGTCAGCCCAGGAAGGTCAAGGTCGCATCTCGGGGGATACCTCTTGCCTGGCCCGCAGAGGGTAACCCAGGAAGCCCGAGGAACGGAAACGGAAGCGCACCCCCGCCGCCCCCCACCCCCGCGCACCTGTGTGCAGGCGGATGTGCACCTTGAGGCTGCCCGACGTGGAGAAGCTCTTCATGCAGTACTGGCACTTGAACGCCTTGATGCCCGTGTGCGTCTTGATGTGCGCCGTCAGCGTGCTCTTGACGGCGAAGGCGCGGAAACACTGCGGGCACTTGAAGGGCTTCTCGTGCGTGTGGATGCGGATGTGGCGCACCAGGTCGCTGGGCTTGCGGAACTCCTTGGTGCAGTAGGGGCACACGTGCCAGCGCACGCCGTTCTCCTCCCGGACCGAGCCTGCGCGACAGGAGAGGCACTCGTGCGCGCCCGGGGCGAGCCCACGGAGCGACCACGGGGCGGCTGGCGCCCCCGCCACGGGGATCCACCGGGACCACGACTTAACCTCGCACAAGCCCCCAGCGGTCCGGCCTCGGAGACGAGAGCCCCCGCTGAAAAGGGAACAGGGCCATGCTAACAGGCGCACCGGCGCCCTGGGCGAGGGTGGACGCGCTTTGACGGAACGGCTCCGTGCCCAGCTCGACACGGAGAGGAGGAGGGAAGTTCGAAAAGGCATTGTTGAGCCTATCTGATCTCACGAATAAAACATACTACAAATGCAAATGATTTTAGGCAATGGTTAGGTTCAGATGCTATAAAAGGGGATTTCTAAATAGTGAAGACAAAGAAATAGTATATATGAATTCGTGATCGAATACAAAAGATTGTCTTTTGTAACTCTGAATATTACTCAGCATTGAATCAAGTTAAAAATATTCCTGACAGAAGAGAAATTACTAATGAAATTCACGGACGTACACCAAGTCCAGCAGTCCTCCCTCGCCTGCGGCACACACGGTCCGAGACCCCCGAGGACGCGTGGAACCCCGCGCCGAACCGACCCCTGTATGTTTCCCCTCCTGTGATAACCAAGACCCACTACGTGACTCAGGTGTGGCATGGGGAGCGAAGGTGGGCTGCACAAAGGAGCGATTCGCCTCCTGGGCGGGTGGAGCAAGACGGCTACAGACTGAAGCCCATGCAATTTAAAACTTATGAATTGTTTATTTCTGGAATTTTCCATTTAACATTTTCAGACCTCAATTGACCTCAGGTAACTAAAACTTAAAAAAGTGAAACTGCAAATAAGGGAAAACTACTGTAAAATGATTTCTAAAATATAAAAAATTTCAAGTAACATTCAACAG